TAGAGCAACTGCTTTGGGAGAGGCGGTGGTCAGGCATCCGGACAACGTGGCCAGCCCAGGGGAGTTGTGGGAGGACCATTGCTTCAATGCTGGTGGTCTTTGCTTCTTCCAGCACTGACGTTTGTCCGCTTGTCTTCCCAAGAGATTTGCAGGATTTTCCGGAGGCAGCGCTGATGGAATCGTTCCAGGAGTTGCATGTGACGTCTGTAGACAGTCCACGTTTCGCAGGCATAGAGCAGGGTTGGGAGGACAATAGCTTTGTAGACAAGCACCTTGGTATCCCTACGGATGTCTCGGTCTACGGTCCAATGAGTACAACTATAATTAAAGACTATAGACTATTGATAAAGAATGATAGCTACCCTGTGTACTTAACACACAGAGAAGAAACTACATCCCACCCATGAATGAACTTCAATAAGAAATGTGCCTGTATGGTGAATTAATACAAGTTGTTTATGAGTAAACAAGATATGTTATTTCTCAAAGAAGGCTTTGTTTTTGTCTCTGAGTGCATATTTTATCTAAGAGGTTTCAAGGGAGTGGGCAACGGAAATTTCAACTTCGAAGAAACAACCATCCTCTGCTAACCAAATATATTTTTGTAGTGGCGTGTCTTTATCCTTGGCAGTTCAAAGACATGGTTCTTCAGTCTAACATCTGAGTTACCTGTGTGCCATTACATGAATGCTTATGAATACCACTTGCTCAAAGAGTTGACTTCTAACAAGGCCATGCTGAAGTTGGCCCATGCCTGCTTTAGACGGTTACCTCTTGCCCTTTCCCACCTCTTCTCCCCTCACCTTGCTGCCTCGGATGCTACCTGAGAGCAGGCCTTTTGTCGGCATCCATCACAGCCTTCCCGAGAAGAGTGGAGCGTCCCCCGGAGACCCTCTCAGCCCGGGCTTTGAAGGCGGCCTGCCTCCTTCCCTCCCTCCCTCCTTCCCAACGATGATCCCCTTCCACTCACTCCTGGACCCCTGTCAGTTCACACGCACCGCTTTGGAGCGGGAGGATTTTCCTCCCTGTCATCCGAGCGCGGTGTTACGGAACGAGAAAATCCCGGCTCCCTTTCAGGCTGTCAGTTTAATTGGATGGCGGAGCGGCACCGGTTCCTTTCACTCAGAGACCCTTGGTGGACACGAAGGACGCTCTTGATGCGGCTCTCTGCGCCCCCCTCCCCGTCCATGGCTCACGTTGCGCTTCCTGCAGATTAAGATATTAGGGTTGCGAGCCAATGTGGCCAGTTGGGGGGCAGAGGGCCTGCATTCCTACCAGGCTGCCCTCTTTCCCTCATGCATCTCACTCTCCGTCAAAATGCGATTTGCAGACGGCGCCCGTCAAAAGCGGAGCGTTCCCATTTCCCAGGTTGCCGCAAGAATGCTTTAATGGATCTCCGGGTCCAGATGTGGGATTTTTTTATTTTATTTCATTGACAGGGGCTGAAAAGAGGAACGAATCCAGAGGCAAAGTAACTCTCCCTCTTTAATGCATCCAGTGACGGCTGCCACATGGCTTCTGGTGCGGCCTCAGCACAGCCCGGCCATAAACCAGTCACTCTGGCGGTGCGCTGGGCTTAGGAGGAGGAGGAGGAGAGCCTTTTGTGAAGAGGAGCAGCTTAGGTTTGTTGGTGCAACCTCAAAGGCCTTCTTCCCATTTTTGAATCCACCAATGCTAAGTGGATTCAGCCCTGCTTCAGTTGGAACCAGGAGTCAGTACGTACCCTTCAGAGATCGAGAGTCTGGCGATTGAAAGGAAGGCCATTGTAGGAGCTCAGCTTGTGATTGTCTCTTTGCCTCAGGCTTCAAAGAGGAATGATCAGAGCCTGCAGAGGTTCCAGTGACCGAGTTAAATGAGCAGGTTACTGTTGACTCTCAGGGGTTTGTAAATGGAGGTGATGACCAAGAGAATACAGTTAGCCAGAGTGAACCGGAGGATTCGAGAGAGATATTGACAAGCTGGAATGTGTCCAGAGGAGGGCGACTAAAATGATCAAGGGTCTGGAGAACAAGCCCTATGAGGAGCGGCTTAAGGAGCTGGGCATGTTTAGCCTGAAGAAGAGAAGGCTGAGAGGAGATATGATAGCCATGTATAATATGTGAGAGGAAGCCACAGGGAGGAGGAGGGAGCAAGCTTGTTTTCTGCTTCCCTGGAGACTAGGACGCAATGGAACAATGGCTTCAAACTACAAGAAAGGAGATTCCATCTGAACACGAGGAAGAACTTCCTGACTGTTAGAGCCGTTCAGCAGTGGAACTCTCTGGAGGCTCCTTCTTTGGAAGCTTTTAAACAGAGGCTGGATGGCCATCTGTCAGGGGTGTTTTGAATGCAATATTCCTGCTTCTTGGCAGAATGGGGTTGGACTGGATGGCCCATGAGGTCTCTTCCAACTCTTTGATTCTATGATTCTATGATTCTGGGATAGTTGTTTCACAAGGTAGTTAGTGATGGTGAAAGGAATGTACTAATTGGCAAACCAAGGGAGGCAATCTTTGACTGTAAAGGCCAGATTTATCAGGATCGCCACCTGGAATTAGGGAGGAGGCACTCTGCAAGATTGAGTGAAAAGAGGGGTCAGGGAGAGATTTCCCAAGGGAAACGGAATGCTTTTGCTATGGCTTTCTGAATAAGTATAGGGCCTATGAAACCATACTCTTCAGTGAGTTCAACGTTCGGTTGTCATGTACAACCATTTTTTTGCTTCATGCCTGATATCTATGTCTGCTGAGCTTAGGAGGAGAAGGAGAGCCTTTTGTGAAGAGGAGAAGCTTATGTTTGTTGGTGCAACCTCAGAGGCCCCGTTTTTTAATCCACCAGTGCCAAGTGGATATAACCCTGCTTCAGTTGGAACCAGGAGTCAGTCCGTATCCTTCAGAGATAGAGAGAGTCTGGCGATTGAAAGGAAGGCAATTGTAGGAGCTCAGCTTGTGGTTGTCTCTTTGCCTCAGGCTTCTGAGGAGAATGATCATGAGTCTGCAGAGGTTCCAATGTCTGAGTTAAATGATCAGGTTTCTGTTGAATCTCAGGGGTTTGTAAATGGAGGTGATGGTCAACAGAATACAGTTAGCCAGAGTGAACCTGTTTAGATTACTGCAACGCTCTCTATGTGAGGTTGCCTCTGAAGACTGCCCGGAAGCTTCAGTTAGTCCAAAGCTCGGCAGCCAGATTACTAACGTGTGCTGGGTACAGGGAGCACACCACTCCGCTGTGACACTAGCTCCACTGGCTGCCAATTCGCTTCTGAGCACAATTCAAAGTGCTGGTGTTAACCTATAAAGCCCTAAACGACTCAGGCCCTGTTTACCTCTCCGAACGTATTCTCCCCTATTCTCCCCTCTGAACCATCAAGATTATTAAGATCGTCTGGAGAGGCCCTGCTCTCGGTCCCACCGGCCTCGCAAGCTCGTCTGGTGGGGACGAGGGACAGGGCCTTCTCAGTGGTGGCCCCTCGACTCTGGAACTCTCTCCCACAGCAGATCAGAACTGGCCCTTCTATCCTGGCATTCAGGAAGCAGGTGAAGACGTGGCTATGGAGACAGGCATTCGATGAGTGAGCCAATACCCGGAGATATGGATGGAGGATGATGAACATCAAATTTAGTGGGACGACTGACCATTGTATTTATTGAATGTAATTGCTGTTTTGCTGTTTTAATGTTTTATTGCAATATGAAGTATGATGTTTTATTGACTGTATGTATGTTATGGTTGCAAACCGGTCTGAGTCCCTCAAGAGAGGTGAGAAGGTCGGTATATAAAACTTTTAAATAAATAAATAAACCGGAGGATTCTGGGATAATAGTTCCACAAGGTAGTTAGTGATGGTGAAAGGAATGTACTAATTGGCAAACCGAGGGAGGCAATCTTTGACTGTAAAGGCCAGATTTATCAGGATCGCCACCTGGAATTAGGGAGGAGGCACTCTGCAAGATTGAGTGAAAAGAGGGGTCAGGGAGAGGTTTCCCAAGGGAAACGGAATGCTTTTGCTATGGCTTTCTGAATAAGTATAGGGCCTATGAAACCATACTCTTCAGTGAGTTCAACGTTCGGTTGTCATGTACAACCATTTTTTTGCTTCATGCCTGATATCTATGTCTGCTGAGCTTAGGAGGAGAAGGAGAGCCTTTTGTGAAGAGGAGAAGCTTATGTTTGTTGGTGCAACCTCAGAGGCCCCGTTTTTTAATCCACCAGTGCCAAGTGGATATAACCCTGCTTCAGTTGGAACCAGGAGTCAGTCCGTATCCTTCAGAGATAGAGAGAGTCTGGCGATTGAAAGGAAGGCAATTGTAGGAGCTCAGCTTGTGGTTGTCTCTTTGCCTCAGGCTTGATTGAGAGAAAAAAGAGGTCAGGGAGAGGTTTCCCAAGGGAAACGGAATGCTTTTGCTATGGCTTTCTGAATAAGTATAGGGCCTGAGAATCTATACTCTTCAGTGAGTTCAACTTTTGGTTTTCATGTACAACCATGTCTTTGCTTCATGCCTGATATCTATGTCTTCCTGTTCATGCTGAGATTCCTGTATACTCCTGCTTTGAATTCATGTTCATGCTGAGATTATTGTCAGCTGTTTGTCTTGGTTTCCAGCTCCTGCATTTGGACTTATTGGTTCAAGTTTGATTCTGTTTCTTCAAGGGACTTTGGTCTTTACAACCTTCTGGAACTGAAAGACTTTACTCCTATGGACTTGTTTATTGGGCTTTGGAACTTTTCTGTTTCCTGACTTGGATTTTGATTGGATTCTATAACATTACTCAACGGACTATTTTGTGGACATTTCCTTATTACTTGTTTGAATGCCTTTTACCTTTCTGGCTATTGCTATATTAATCTTCAATAAACTGTTTTGCTTATAAAGAACATTGGATTGTTTATGGGTTCAAAGGTGCCAGGCCCAGCCTTGGTGTGCAACAGCAATGCAGACTCCCAGTGTGGGCTGATGCCTGCTATCGAAGTAGGTTCACGGCTCAGGGTCTCTAATTCCTCCCTCTGCTTCTCTTTCCAGGCCCAGCAGCAAAGGAGCCTGGATGGCGTTGTGTCTCATCCCTCGAAAGCCAGCGGGAGGAGGCCAAAGAGAGACCCCTTTGCCAGTCTGGACCCAGAGGTCAAAATCACCAGCCCTGCCTCGGAGCAGGACTCTGGCATCCTGGATGGAGAGGAGGAGGAGGAAGAGGAGGAAGAGGCAAGGACCGTTCAAACGTGGGGAAGGGGCTGCTGTGGGAAGGCTTGCGCCAGTTCCAAATCCCTCAGGAGAAAGCGTCACGCACAGAGGAGGGATTTGGAGCATGCATGTCTTTGGATACAGGACTTGACAGGCGCTTGCTCTGATAGGTCACTGACTCTTCTGGCCTTCTTCCTTCATGCCTGCTGGACCAGCGGCTTATCAGAGCAAGCGCCTGCTGACTGCCATCCGAAAGATGCCAGCAAACCAGTGCCTTGTTCCAGTCCTCTCATCCTGACAAGCAGATTTGTGCCTTCAGGAGAAACACCAATCGATGGGGGAATGGAACACAGTCCAAATCATGTGTGTCAGGTAGAAGGCAAAGCAGGCCATTTTTTCCATTGCATCTCAGGGATCCCCTTTTGGTCCTTCCTGGTCACAGCCGACACCTGAGCATCCATCAGTGTCCTGTTTTGCTCCAGAAACAGCCTTACAACATGAGTAGAAGTAACTAAAAAAGCTTTACTTCTGCAAAATAGTATCTTGCATTTGTCCCTGTTGAACTTCATTTTGTTAGTTTTGGCCCATCATCTCTCTATTCTGTCAAGATCGTTTTGAATCCTGCTCCTGTCCTCTGGAGTCTTGGCTCTCCCTCCCCATTTGGTGTCGTCTGCAAACTTGATGATCCTGCCTTCTCACCCTTCATCTTAGTCGTTAATAAAGATCCAGAGCAGGACTGGGCCCTGGATGGAACCCTGCTTGTGGCACTCCACTTGTCACTTCTTTCCTGGATGAAGAAGAGGAAGCCTTGGGGAGAATCACCCTCTGGGTTCGTCCATTTAACCAATTCCAGATCCACCTCACCGTAGTTTTGCCTAGCCCACCTTGGACTAGTTTCCTTGCCAGAAGGTCATGGGGGACCTTGTCAAAGAAGGCCTTCCTGAAATCCAGGTACGCTACATCCACGGCATCACTCCCCGCATCTACCTAGCTTGTAACTCTATCAAAAAAAGAGATCAGATGAGTCTGGCATGACTTGTTTTTGATCAATCCATGTTGACTATTAGCGATGACTGCATTTGTTTCTAAGTGCTTGCAGGCCACTTCCTTAATAATCTTTTCCAGAATCTTGCCCGGTATCGACGTGAGGCTGACCGGACAGTAGTTGTTTGGGTCATCCTTTTTTCCCTTCTTGAAGATTGGGACCACATTGGCCCTTCTCCAATCTGCTGGAACTTCTCCCGTTCTCCAAGAACTCTCAAAGATGGTTGCCAATGGTTCTGAGGATCCCTGCCACAGATGCAGGTGAAACGTCAGGAGAGAATGCTTCTCGAACATGGCCAGACAGCTCGAAAAACCTACAACAACCCTCTTGAAAGAGCTTCTGTTTGCTCATGTAGGACAAAAGCAGGGAAATTGTCAAGAGTCCTTGCACAGGTGGTACCAGTCAGAATAGGCAAAATTGTGCAAAGGATGACTAAACATTGGTTTGACTCGCGCAGCTTCATATGTGTACTTCTACTTGGTTGTCATTATTATGTGCTCTCCAATCAACGCCAGCTCAGGTTCTGCCAACTCATGGCTTCCTGGGGAGAACAGGCCCAGCTGTAATGGGCTCTTGCTCTTTTCCTCCTGCCTCTCCCTTTACTAGGCATTTTCATCATTCTCAAAGAGTCACAGCATCTTGTGAGGTGCCCAGGCATTGTTGTCTTTTCTAGTGTATTGTCTCTTCTTCTCGTGATATTTCCAAAGGATGATTGTCCGTTTCGACCTCTTGGCTTTGATTTGTTCTTGGGCCCATTTATGCGTCCTTTTATCAGTCTTCTGTCTCCATGGAACTTTCCTCCAGCTCCACATTGCAAATGACGCTCTTCTCCTTGCTCAGCTACCTTCTTCAGGGCCCAGCTTTCAGCCCCATGGAACAAAGCACTGTCAAAACAGTGCTGAACCCATGGAGGCCAAATCAAGGGGAGGCAGTGATCACCGACACATTCAGGAGAGCAGAAAGCAAGGATAGAGTTGAGCCAAAGGCCTTTGAAGTGGCAGAAACCCTTTATGGAATCAGCAAGAGGAGGGATTCCCTCCCACAATTCACCAGAGTTTTCCCAGTTTCAGGAGCATCTGCCAGACTGATGAGCTGTGAATAGAGGCTCAGTGATGTTACAGACAGAGCAGGAAACAAAACACGTATTATTTCTGAACAGGATTCCCCGTAGAGTTTGGTTTCTCCTTCTTGGAGTGGGGTGGGTGGGTAGCTAGCCGTAGCCCAGCACCCAGACCCTCCCAATTTGAAACAATGACCCCTGAGGAGAGATGGATGAGATTTGTAATGTTGCATCTTCTCTTTTCAAAGTGACACAGTGAGTGTTTGTGTTGGTCTCCTCGTAGGTGCCCGGTGCCCAGGATCTGGTGGACTTCTCACCTGTTTACCGTTGTTTGCACATCTACTCGGTCCTGGTAAGTGAGCAGACATCTCTCCAATGTTTTGTGGATGTTTTAAGGAGGTTGAAAATGGGCCTGGGTTTTTCAAGGTGGTCTTGGAGATCTTCCTCACATTCATACACACACAGCTCTGACAAAGGAGAACTGGATGGGGCAGAAAGGCTTTGGGGGACAGGATGGGTTGGCCTTAACTGGGCAAAGCCTTGAATCAGCGACCAGTCTCTCCTGCAATCTGGCAGAGCACCTGAGAGCCTGGTTTGTTTTTCTGTGCTGACTGAAAGCGTTTCTCCTATCTACTGGCTCATTAATTTCTGCACCTGATCCAGGTGCCAAGGCTCAGGCTCAAAACCTTGGGAATTCTCTGGTAGCAATTCAGGCCCAGGGAACAGACCACCATCCCCAAACCCTTCAGGAACATTCCCATCAGAAAAGTCTCTTTGAAAAGGAAACCCATTGTCATTCTCTGCATCTAGAGCAACCTCATCATTAGACACATGAACCTCATTGTCACTCCCAACATCCAGAGTACCCTGATCATTAGACGCAATCACAGGCTGGATTCCAACACTGGGGATGTGGATGGGATGGGGAATTTAACCCCCAGAATCATAGAATCAAAGAGTTGGAAGAGACCTCATGGGCCATCATCCAGTCCACCCCCATTCTGCCAAGAACCAGGAATATTGCTTTCAAAGCACCCCTGACAGATGGCCATCCAGCCTCTGTTTAAAAGCTTCCAAAGAAGGA